TTGCCCTGGGGCAGGGTTTGGGGTTGCTTGTCTATAACTTCAGTGATAAGAAACCACAGGGAAAGGGCTGACTCTTTGCAGGCAAAACAAAAGCAAGAACAATGTGAACAATTATAATGACAAATCGCAATGAGAAATGTTTTTTAGAAACCACAGCATCTTGGAGGATCAAATCCCAGGGCTACAATGAACACTCAGGAAGCTATCGGTTTAGTAGGATAAAAGACACGCTTGTAATGCAAAATGAAATTTCATCACAGCCTGCAAAGTTATACAATGATCAGTCTGCAGGGCACAGAGGCATACATTACTGAAATGTCATCTGTCCTCTTCACACTAATATGTTTTAAGTGTGGCGCCAATAGAACTGGGAAGAACATGGAAGGCAGCAGGCCTGGTAGGTCCCTGAAGGACATGGTTATGGAAGTTCTTCTCTCAAAGAGCTGTGTGCCAGCTCCTCCGAGTGCTTTTGGTTTTTTTATGCATCAGGGATGGAACTGTAGACCTTGCGCTTGCGACGCAGGTGGCGGAACCACTGAGCTAAATCCCAGGCCCTCATTTGACGGTCTGTTTTGTTTTGGTTTTGGTTTTGGTGACAGCATCTCACTATGTACTCCAGCCTGGCCTCAAACTCAGGTCAGGTCCCCTGCCTCAGCTTCCTCACTGGTGGGATTACAGGCAGGGCCACCACGCCTCGCTCCTCAGGCTTTTAAACATTTACGTTGCTTTTCCTTGTAGAGCTAATGTTAGTGATTCTTCTCACATACACAGCAACACACCTTTTCAAGACTATTGTTCATATCCGTAGTTGAAGGAGGCAGCATCTGGAACCTTCCGTAACATCTGTGTATAGGCCACGTGTATGACAAAATGATATGCACCTATTCGGGTGGCTCTATCTGGCCTCATAGGGAAAGTAGCCAAGGAAACTGTTAATGTGAAAAAGATACATGATGTGTGGATGTCTGTCTGTACGAAGGATCTCATTTTTTGAATGACACATCTATGATGTAAATCTACACATTTCCCTATGCTAATGAATCTATGTGAGAAGTAGAGAGACAGGCTGAAGGAGGCAGAGAGAGATGCCCAACCATCGGTGATGAACAGCTCTTCTGGGTAACTTGTGGAAAAATACTGCTATGTTCACTCATTTAGATTCTAAGAGTTTTATAATGTGAATACTTTTAATCATATAGATCAATGGTAAAATCTCTTCTTTCGTTCTAAATGACATGGACCATTTTTACACCTGGGCTGAAGTGAATAAACTTTCATTGAACATGAGTGTGAAGAAATCTTTCTAGACTGCGGTTTCAGTTCCTTTACGTATATACACAGAGTGGGCTTGCTGGGTCCTGTGGCAGTTTCAATAACTGTATTTTAAGGAACTTTCATATTCTTTTCCACAATGGCTGTATTGATGTGCATTGTCACTAACAGTGTACAAGGATCCATAAACTTTTCTTTTATCTTTGGGACCAGGGATCCAACTCGGGCCCTTGTGCTTGCGAGGCAGGCGGCAGAACCACTGAGCCAAACCTCTGGTCCTGATTATTGAGTTAATGTCCTTATGAGTTGAGATGTATTTGACTTTTTAATGCCTTGTTTTATTGTGTTGGTAGGTTGTACGTTTGTTAGAAGTTGTCTATTTCTTCTAGGCTATATCTACAATCTTAATATACAATTATACATACTCTCTCAAATAATTTTCATGCATGTAAAATTGATGGTATGTTCTCTCCTGCATTTCTGATTTTAGCAGTTTGAATCCTCTTTTTTTGGCCATCGATCCAGCTAAATGTAAGTTTTGTGAATTTGTTAGAAAAATCAATTCTGGTAAAATGTATTTTGCTATAACTTTATATGCATACTCATATGTGCTTGGAGATACATGATGTGATATTCTAAGTGTTTTTTTTTAACTAAACTTCTATTATGAAATTGAGATGGATATTGATAGATTTCATTGTTTTCTCCATCAGCATAAAAATTAACATACCACATTACAGCACAGAATTGTGAAGAATACCAACCAAATCTTTTTGTAAATATTTGTAAGTAGTGGATATGGAAATGGAATAAAAGATATGGATATGGGATAAATTATCAAGTTCATGTACATCTGCCCATCAGGAATTATTTTAAATGATTGCCCAAGTACATATTTAGGAGGTTTTTTTCTATTACATCATTCTCTGGCATTAGTAACAATTGCTGATAGAAAGGTTAAAAACTCAATAAAGACTGGTATACTTCTGGACAATATGCACAGTCCAATTTTTCTCAGAGATGCTGGGTGAGTTCTGTGTACTATAGAATTTATTGGGTATAGATGGGCCTGGTGATGCTAAATTCCTCACACCACAGTTCACCACTCCCTGACCGAGCTTGATTTGTCATCATATTGATATTTACTCTCCTAAGAAACCCTTTGAAAAGGAGCTTAAAGTCCTTAAAGTGAAAGAGAATTTCCCAGTATGTTACCAATGAAGGTACAGTTTTCTCTGGGAAGATAAACACTGCAAGAAGACATTGATTCCAAGGCCCATAGATAGTAAGAGGTGTTTTTAAAAAGAAGAAAACTCATTGTGCATTCCGCTTTTAAGAGCCAGACAAGAAAGATAAGTGAAAGAACAAAGAGAAACACCAAAGCCAATTGTTGAGAATATTTTGACTTTGTACAAAATATGGCTTTAAATCATAAATGTAAAGGATTAAAATGTGTTAACATATAGGCATCAACTCCACATGATGAATTTATTCGTAATTTACCACAATTTGTATTAATCAAAAATTTTAAATTTATATGCAAATTTTGAAAATACCACATGTACAAATACAAACTAGATCATGCTAATGTTATTTCTAGTTGAAAATTGCGTTTGATTATGTACTATTCCAGGTTAGAAAGTAAGAAATGGAGAGAAATTAAATCTGATGTTTCTTTAAATGGTAATTAATACAGTGGATGAATAAGAAAGATTAAAGTATGAACAATATTATAATGAAAACATTTATGTCTACGGCAACAAGAGGAAACAATGACAACGAGAAAATCCAAGAGAAAAGTGTCCAGGAAGGGCATCTCATGAATAGTAACAAAGTAAAAAGGTGCAAGATTTCAAATAGATACTGGGTGAATAAGAAGATGGATTCTCTTGAGAGGCAGAGGCAGGAGGATTGATGCAAATTTGAGGCAAGCCTGGGCTACATAGTGAGTCAGGGCCAGCCTGAACCACAAAGTGAGAGCCTGTTTCAAAAAACCAAAGAAGAAGAAAAAAAAAGAGTACTATGTGATCTAAGACCTTCCAGCCAAACAGAAGGAAATCATCCAATCACAGAAACCCAATGACAAGTAAACCAAGATAAAATCTGAAAAACAACCTGTTTTTAGTTCCTGAATAAACCTAGATCTCACCTACTCCTCACTGGTTGTTTTTAGTGAACTACAGATAGCACCTCTGACAAGGGGTTGTGATGTTCACAGAACACAAAGTTTGATCCAGCCGCCTTCCCCTCCAGCTGGCCTCACAAACATCCCAACGCCCCATCCTCAGCGAGGTAAATTGGAGTCATGCTCTGTTTCCATATGAGGCAGCTTCAAGAATTAACTCTTGTCGCTTCAGTTGTCAGACCGTGCAGGGTACGAACCGAGCCTGGTTCAGTAACACTACCACAAAGCTTGGCTGTGGAGTGTCCAAACTGTACTTTTCTCTGAGCCCTCTTCTCAACAAGGCCTCTTCCTCAGCACCCAGGCTTGCCTCTAGCACAAAGCTTGCCAAGGCAGTGTAGAGCATCCCTCCGTATTTGATGTCTGATCCAATTCTGCATTCCTTTTTTTTTCTTTTATTGAGTTTATTGGTACATTTGAGGTATACAGTACAATGACATTCATTACTGGGATCTTGTACCTTTACGTGACAGGTCTTGGTTCTCACTTTTTTTTCCCCCTTGCCATTCTGCATTCTCCTGTCTAAGTTCTTCACCTTCCTGCCTCTGAGAACTGGTCAAGTTCATCTGAGTAATTCCATTCACTGACCCTCTCACTCTGCCCCTTAGCTATAAATCTGTATCTCTGTTGCAACAGTTTGACCCCATTGAGGTAGTCAAATAATCTTCCTTTCCATCTTTAGCATGTGTTAAAATAAATTCCAGTTAACAGCTGTGAACTGACATCATGAAAAATCATTCAGGCTTAGGTAACATAAATATTTATTAGGAAAGGATTGGGTAACATAGGGAAAATGGGAGGGGAAAGCACTGCATGCATTTGTTGCTGTTAGAGGATATTTTCGTTCTGTCTTTTGAACATGCCAGTAATTCTTGCATACATATTTTTTATGAATGACTTCAGCGAACATCACACCTATATCTGAAATCATAGGTTCCTCAGTCAAAGGATAAATTTGGGGAGGGTAAGTAATGATCAATCCCATCCAAAGCAGCTCAAGAAAAAGTTAAGAAAACTCATCTTATTTTGATTTAACAAAGTTTCTTAGACCTAAGTGTGTACCGATACCATAGATCATGAGGCAAATATTGTCTTGGAATTTCTAACTTCCTAAGTGAAAAGAAAGGAGCACTGGGGACCAAGGATTTAGCTCAGCGGTTCTGCTGCCTGCCTTGCAAGCAGAACGACCCGAGTTTGATCTCCGGTACAAAAACAAAACAACAACAAAAAGAAAACAAAGGAGCACTGAGAAATGGTTCTGTAAAACCAGTGCCAGTGTGCGTTTATCTTAAATATTGGAGTGGAGCCAGTGGGCTGGGAGGTCCATCCTGGACGTGCATCTCTAGCCAGGAGTCGAGGAGGAACGACACGGCCCTGGAAAAAGACAAATGGGTATCTTTTGATGCATGGTGTGAGCACCTCTCCCTTCTTCAGGGAAGCGGGGCACCCGTCGCCGTGCCTGTGCCTCCCGTTGCCATGTGGCCTCTGTTCAGAAAAGGGGAGGCGTCTGTGGTGGCATTGGCTTTGTGGGAACAGGGCACATGCTGCAAGCAGGTCTGAGGAGTGAGAGCTAAGGGAGAGAGGGTCCTCCCCAGCTCTCCCTCATTTTTAGGCGCTTTTCTCTGCCCAGTTCTCTTGTCCTCTGGGTTCCTTTCCTCCATACTTGCTCATGTCTCCGGAGGCCAGGAGACTGTCCCGTTCACCACTCTGTGAACATCCCCAGTACAAAAACAAAACAACAACAACTAAAAGTAAAGGAGCACTGAGAATTGGTTCTGCAAAACCAGTGCCAGTAGGCTTTTATCTTAAATATTGGTTCTGTTAAAATATATCAGAATTTATAGTTTAGAAAAGTGGAAATTGCTTAGAATAAAGGATACCTAGCAAGATTCCAGGATTTTGTCTCTGAATGATCTTTATAGTGCTGCGTGAATATCATCTACTTATCTCCCCCTCTGTGGAAGCTCTGATCATGAGAAACTATAGTCTAAGCTGGGTGTGAGGGTGCATGTCTGTAATACCAGCACTCAGGAGGCAAAGGGAGGAGGGTCATTGTGAGTTCAAGGCAAGCCTGGGCTATATAGTTCGATCCCTGATAAAATAAATAAATAAATAAATAAAAGAATTAAATGAGCTAACACCTGCAAATGTCTTAGCATGGGCAAAATACTTTCAATGAATGGTGGTTACTCTTGAATTGGCCCAACCTCTGTAATGCTGCCAGGCGGTTACCATTATCTCTGCCTGAATGGAGGAATTGAGCGACAATTCACTAGCGACAGCACCAGGACTTCTGACTCCAGCCCTGGGTCCACACCACTCCGTCACCCCCGGTCCACCTTGTAGACTTTTACAGAATGGGACGCAGCGTCTAGCACGAGCAATGAATTCTCCTTGGTGAAGGCCAGTGCCACGGGGTGGGCAAGCCCTTGGGTGACCATGGGCTTCAGCACTGGGAACTCCTCGGGTTTTCCTAGGCATAGGATGGCTGGTCCCGAGGTATCGGCCACGATCACATTCCCCTGCTGATCAAAGGCCACAGCGGAAGCAGTTATCTGGGAGGGAAAGAAGAGGCTCAGCCCGAAGGTGTCCACCTGGCTGAGGAGCTGCATGCTCGCGCTGAACACCTTCACCCTGGTGCTGCAGGGCTGGGTCCCCGCGGACATGGGGTGCTCCAGGACGGCGATGGCCCCGCTGAGCCAGGACACGGCCACGCTTCGGGGGCCGCACAGGTGAGTGTACAGCCTTTCGTTTCTCCGCAGGACCCCTTCGGGGAAGTCCGCTTCCACAAGGTGTAGGGACCCGGCCTCAGCATCAGTGACCAGGACCCCGTTCTGAGGCGTGGCCTCCACGCCCCACGGTAAGGTGAACTGGCCTCCAATGACAAGCCTGACCTGGCCCAAAAAGTCAAACACTTTGACGGAGCGGTCGCCCGCGTCGGTGACAACCACGTGGCAGTCGAAGGTGACGGCGACGTCCAGCGCGTACCGAACGTCCTGCGCGGCGTCCCCCTTCTCTCCGAACTGGTGCGCGCATCCGCCCCCTCTGGAGTCGAAGATCTTAAGGTGAACTGGCCTCCAATGACAAGCCTGACCTGGCCCAAAAAGTCAAACACTTTGACGGAGCGGTCGCCCGCGTCGGTGACAACCACGTGGCAGTCGAAGGTGACGGCGACGTCCAGCGCGTACCGAACGTCCTGCGCGGCGTCCCCCTTCTCTCCGAACTGGTGCGCGCATCCGCCCCCTCTGGAGTCGAAGATCTTTTCCCGCCTCCGGCCGTCGTGCACCACCACG